GAAGTAAACAGCAGTACTGTATTTGTTTTCTATTGCTGTGTAACAACTTAAGCCACCACAAACCTAGTGGCTTAAAACAACACCCACGTATTAGCTCACAGAGCTGTGGGTCAGAAGTTCTCGTGTGGCTACACTCTCTGTGCGGGGCTGAAGGCTGAGTGGAAGCTGTCAGCCAAGTTGAGTTCTCCGCAGGCGGCTGTGGTTCTGCTCATTTCTCTTATTGGTAGAATTCATTTCCTTGTCATTGTCGGATTGGGGTCCCCGTTTCCTTGCTCACCACCCTTGCCATGTGGCCCCTTCTGTCTTCAAGTCAGCAAATCCTTATCATACCTTGAATCTTTAACTTCCTCTTCTTCCATCATCTGAAGGAAACTCTGCTTTTAAAGAGCTCATGTGATTAGGCCAAGCACCCCTGGATAATCCCCCTACCTCTAGGTCAGCCGCTCTTTATGGCAATACCTGGATCAGCATGTGATCGAATACTCAGGGGAAGGTGTGTGTACACCAGTGCTGGGAATCCGGGGACCAGCTTAGAATCCCGTCTACCACACGCACCTGCTTCTAGGGAAGCTGTGAGGCCTAAGTTAGCAAGTGTAGTAGGTCAAGTACTCAGCACGCATCTGGTATGTTTTGAGTACAGATCTGTATGCAAAGAATGAGCAGTCGAGTTCCCAGGACTGATGAGAATTTGGTTGGGCGAAAAGGGAGTGTAAGCAGTTGGATACAATGGGACAGCTGAGGGGCCTGGCCGGGGGGCCTGGCTGAGGGGCTTCATTTCGATATACTTGGAAACAGGAAGTGCCTGTCAACCTCGGGTGAACAGCACGATACACTCCCTGATTTTGCTGTGGTAATGGCAGTGAGGAGGGGCTTTGGGATGACAGACAAGGGGCTTCTGGATCGGCTTTCGGGAACCATCTGCTCAGAGAATCCGATTTTCGGAAGAGTGAAGATGTTTCCTCCAGCTACAAGTCTGGGCACTCAGAAACCACTAAAATAACAGCTTTTCCCAAATCAGCCAAGCAAAGATCTAACTGGGGGAAGTGGGAAATAGAACTCAGGATTCCCACTCCCTCTGCTAACCACTCACTGGTCGTGGTTGCCGTCCTCCTCAAACTGAAGAAGGCCATTTCCTTCCTCAGCTGGCATCACTGGCAGAAGGATCAGACAATGGCCCAGGACCCCGCTGACCCTGGGGAAAGGCTGGCCCAGGAGTTAACACCTGGGCTTTTATCCACTCTGTGGGTTGAACTGCCTGCTCCCAATAAATCTATGTTCCAAATGGTCTGGGGCCAGAATGAGATAAGCAGGAAAAAGATTAAAAAAAAAAAAAAAAAAAAAAAAAGGCAGGGCTGAGAGGAGAATGAGGGGGTGAGAATAAAAAGATCGTATTTTTCATTCCAAAGAAGCTTTTCTTTCAAAAATGCCTACACTAGACAATTCTCATTTCCAGCTGGGTGCTTTTCCCGCCCTCCTGGCTCTTTCTCCCCCCTCCTATATCTGCCTCCGCTTCCGGATCTTCTCAAAGCTCCCCCCGAGAAAAACTTGGGCCAGTTTACTCCCCTTGAACAACTGTCATTTTTGAAAAGCCGCCCAGTCTCTTCGCTGTGATTTTCAAAGACTGACTCAGTGGTTAGACTTTCTCTCAGTGACAGCACAGAGACAGCAGGAGAGGGAAAGGAGGGGGCTTCTGATGGTAAAAAAAAAAACAAAACCCAAAAACACAGACACATGACACACACGCTCCTGACAGACGCTGGATCTGTAACTGCAGAAAAACACGATACCCCAGGAAGATGTCAACAAAGCAAAGCAGAGAGTAGGAAACTCATGTTTCTGCTGTAGCTGCTGGAGCTTCTACACCAGTGAGGCGTGACCCGGTTTGACCTTGCCTGTCAAGACCAGAGGGATCCAGAGGAGCCAACCAAAAATATGTGAGCAAAACTGGCCAACCTGACCAGTTTCGACGTGTCAAAGGACAGATGTTTTCTGGCACAGGCAGGGAAGAAATCCAAAGGTCAGCCTCTAAGACACAAGGATAGTAACAAGCGGGACAGCTATGTGTGTTCAAGGTAGACCCTGCCTCCCACCATTACTCTGAAAGGAACAGGCTTTATCGGGCTGGTTGGTTTACGGCCTGAACCAGTGAAGACTACGTTTCCCTTGCTCACTATGCTCTCTCCTGTCCCTTCACTATTCAAGACAGGTGTCATCGTGCCTGACAGAGCCTGGCACTGGCCGCTTGCTGTGATCAGTGGCTGATGACTTGACAGAAACACTTCCCCTGATTACAATTTAACCTGGATTGTGATGCATTTAGCTACATTTTGAGGAACAAACAGAGGAAAGGAGGGAAGGACAGCGGGTTGAGGAGGTCTGCAGAAAGCCCGAGGGTGGGACAGCGTGGATGGCCCACCCCACACACGTCGTGTCTTTCATACTTTAACTTTGCTAATTATTGACATCCAATGAGCAAATGTTGATTGAGTACTTAAAACATTCAAAACAATGTATAAGCTTCATCTTCCACGGTGTGAAATCCAAAAAGGAATAACCAGGGGAAAAAGACAGGCCATTACCTACCTCCTGCTGGTAATGAACTGAAGTTATAGAAAGATAATTTCCAGTTTCAGCTTCATACCATTACTAATTAGAGTGATAGTAAAAAAATAAATAAATAAAAAATCAAAAAAATTTCACTCACTCAGACTAATGGTCTCTCCTGCAAGTGGTGAAGAATGCTGATTTGGCTTATTTTACTACCTGCGCCTCTCTTGGTTTGGCAGACGGTTTGCTGATAGGATTATTTTGGATAGCAGTTAATGTTAGGTAATTATTGGCATGGTAGCATCCACATATGTCTACCAATCCCTGGTGTTTATATATTGGCTGGGTTGTGGCTACAAACAAGGATGGTTTGTGCAACAGATAAACAATTAGCAAGACCATTCACTGTTTCTTCCTTTGCTGTCCATTCTAATTATTTGTCTACATGGAGAGCTGGAGGCTTTGCTCGCCCTGTGCCTGACAGCAGGCATGTGGGTGTCGTCAGCACTTAAGGTGATGAGCGACTGTCTCTCACGATAGAGCTCCGAGCGCTACTACAACCCACGCTGGCTGATGAGACTTCCATGTTCCATTTGTAATGTGGATACAGGTAACAACACGTGTCTACTAATATCATCCCATTGATGTTTACATCCAGTTTGGGCACAGGTGCAGGGTCCCTGCCTTTGAGCCTCGTCTCACTGCTACAGCCCGCAAATCTCACTTGGATCTCAAGTATTAGAAGGAAGTATGACTAAATATCACAACTGTCACGTTCAATCAACCGCTACAAAACTGTTCTGTTCCCTCTTAATACTGCAAGGTCACCTGGACTCACCCCCCCGCCCCCGGCCCCGCCCACCCAACTGATCTTCGGCTGAATGACCAAGACAATTTCTGATCAGGAAATGTTTTTATGACATATCACAGTGAAGAAACAAAGCTCAATATCGATTGTAGGACAGATGGGTGAGAAAGCGTTTTGCTTTTCTGCCAAAATATTCCTTTGGGTTTCTTTCAGGACCAAAGTAACATGAGGAAGTTTAAGGCCACAGCAATGTGACCAAGTGAAAGCTGATCTACACTTACAAAAGCAAGTGGCTCTACCCACAGTCCCTCATTCTTAAATCTGCGACATGTAGATAATTTTCTAAGGGCAAAATTTCCTAGTTCCCTGATGCAATAAAGGTAATGTTGAAAATGCCAACGTCTGAGAAGCAATTACAAGTTGCCTTTTTCCCCCCCACACAATTGATGATAGAATTGAGAACCACTTTTTTTTTTTTTTTTCCTAATAGAAAATCATCAGCCACAGAGTTGCAATTGAAATTCACCACAGTGATTTCAGCCAGTAACTCTCTTTTTCCTTTCTGGAGGTCTGTCTCCCCCAGGCAGTCTCAGCACCCCAGAATAATGAGCAAACAGTGACACTGGGCGAGCACTAAGATTTATGGTCTCCCCCGCTCCGGAGGGACTGTTTACCCGATGACATCTCATTCTGAAATCTCTTGTATTAAGAAAATTGATGGGTGTGGTGCAAAAGTGAACTGTGGATGTGAGTGATATTTAGACAAGGCTGTACTTCAAAACAGAGCCCTAACTCACAGGACAGCTTTCTGTCCTTAGCTGGGGATCTTAGCATTGACCACTTCATCTCCAGCAACGCCCTTTCCCCGCTTGTACAAAAAACGTCCTTCTTAATTGTATCGTAAATATGTTTTATATCTCTTTCCTCTACATTGTGCTTTGGGTTTCAAAAACTCCCAGGTAGATTTTTATTTCTTCTGTGAAAGCCTCGAGCCTCAGGTCCAAGCCAACCCAAACCACCAGGACACTGCAGCTGCCTTCAGAGCAGAACACTCACCGGAAAAGGACAAATCAGGTTTTACCTGGAACAGTGGAGACCTTATCAGGGAACGGAAGGTGGCCATTCTGCCCCGGGCTGACCTCTCACAGGGGCAGAGGAGTAAGGAAAGCGAAATAGCGGGGTTTTCAGCGAGTAGCCTTGCTTTCTGGAAGGCGCCCAGGTCCGCCGAAAGAGCAGAGTGCTGAATTCGAACCAGCCCTGGAGTTGCTCTGTTTGGAAACCTCATTCTGGAAAACCGAAGTCCAACAGCGGCTTTCCGCATCAGGACGAGAAGAAAGAGGGCAGAAATGGCCCAGAGGACAGAAGTTGGGCTAAGCGGCGAACAAGAAGCTCAGTGGGGAGGGGCTGGGAAGATTTCTTGGCTGTGCTGCTCCATAGAAACTTTTTCTTGCACTGAGATCTGTCTACTCGGGGCTGAATTCCGAGGTCCTTAACAGCTGGTGGGGTCTGGGTGGGGAACACCCTCGGAGACCAGGGCAGGGCTTGTGAGTTGGGCAGCACCGCGAGGGCCCGGGCGGCGGGCGAGGGGGTGCAGAGAAGCCGGGCCGGCGCGCGCGCTCTCGCGCTTGGCGGGCGGGGTCCTTACCTGTTCCAACGGGCCACCTTCCTCCGGTAATACCGCAGCGCCTCCGGGCCAGCGAGGAGCACGTCTTCCGGCCCAAGGACAGGCGGCTCCTCCGGGACGTTGTACAGCGGGTGGGCGAAGAGGGCCTGCAGCTTGGAGCCGGGGTCACTGCGGCCGCCGCCGTCCTGCTCAGTCCCCGGCCAGGCTCGGGAAAAGTTGTGCGCCGCCGTGTGGGGGTCCGAGGCGGCTGCGGCGGAGTCTGGGGCCAGAGAGGAGGCGCGGCGGGCGCACGGGCAGCCCCGCGGGCGCTCTCGGGGCCGCAGCTGACGCTGCACCTGGGGCCAGAGGTGGAAGTAGAGGTCGGCGGAGAGCAGCGTGCCCAGCAGCAGCAGGGTCAGCAGGCGGTCCCGGCGCAGCCCGGGCATGGCCCCGCCGGGCGCGCGGGCGACTCCGGGGACCCGAGGGGACGCTGAGCGCACAGGGCCGCCTGCACTCCCGTGGGCTGGCCGGGGTCACTGCGGTCAATGCGGCCAGAATGCTCACCGCGCAGGATAGGTCCGCTTTCGAAGGGTGCCGCCCTTGAACTTGGGGACCGGGTGCAGGGAGCCCGGGGGCTTGTGGTGTTGGCAGGCGTCCCTTCTCTGCGTGGAGCGAAGACCAGGGGATGGTGTCTCCTGGGCCCCTCTGTCTCGCACCTTCTGTACCCCGGGAGCCTGCGGCAGGTGAAAGGCTGGGGGCGCCGGTGTGGCTGTCCCCGTGGGCGGACAGGCGGCGGGTCCCCAGCGGGCAGGAGCTCGGGGTGCGGGCGGCGGCGCTCGCCTCTGGGAGGAGCGAGACAGCTGCGGAGCCTAAGGCGTCTCTCCAGAGGATGCTGTCGCCCGGCAGCTGCTGCGACTGTTCCCGCAGCTCCTTCTGAGGGCGGTGGGGACGCCCGTGCCCCCGGCTCCTCCCGGCGAGCTCGTCTGCGCGCCCGACTCCTAGAGGCAGAGGTAGTGCCGGCTCCCCCGCCTGGCCGGGCGCCCGCACCTCCGCCCACTCCCAGCTGGCACCTGCCTCTGGCGCAGCTCGCCAGCCAACTCCGATCCCTTGGCCGGCTCTGCCCTTCCACCTTGTCACCCTACCCTCTTCTCGCGCCCATCCCCCTCGCCCCAGGCCACCGCTTTCCCTGACGGTTTGGGGGACTCAAGGGGTGTGTATGTAAAACCTTTGATATTTTCTTTCTTCCCTCCCTCCCTTCTTTCTCCCTTCCTCTCTTCTTCTTTTTTTAAAGAATAAACACGTTCTCCGAAAGCTTTTCTCCTGTAAGATTGGTCAGGTGTGTGTGTGTGTATTGTCTTTTCTCTCTCTGTTTATTTCCACGGGACACACACTAGATCCCTAACAACCAAGTGTCATGTGCGGGGCACGAAATAGGCGGTGAGGAAACACCCACTGAGTGAATGAAAAAGTTTGTCCTTTACAAATCAGACGCCAGTTTTACCTAGAACGTTGGCGATTTCCTGTTTGGATGGAGTGTGATTCCAACTGGGCCCGCGCTTCACAATGAAGAAATTTTTCTTCCACCCAAGGAGGGAGGGGCCCCCTGATGACCCCACTCTGAACTTTTGAATGGAGCCCGGTGGGAAACTAGTCCACCCAAATGAATCACTGGAGGACGCATTGCAGGCTCCCTTGGTCTCCTGGGAGGCAATTCATACTCCCCACCCCATTTTTCTTTTGAGAGAGGGGGACAGGGGAGGTGGGAGCCCAGCCCAGAGCTCCTGGCTCTTATATTTAAGGACTTGGTAGGAGAATGAAGGCTTAAGTTCGACTGAGGAGGCACCCCGCCCTGCTGAAGGTTCAGGGAAATACACCTTTGTCTTGAGCTGCTTGTCCAGGTGGCAGAGCTTCCCATGCATGTTAATCCCACTCTTTCCCTCCTTCCCTGGCTGGAGGGAAGAGCCTCGGACACACTTGGACTGGTGCATTCAGACTACAGTTCGTCCCACCTGGGGGTCAGCGAGGGATTCCTGTGGCCTTTGCCAGCCCCTCACCTGTAAAGGAAGACAGTAACAGAACTTTCTCTGTAGGGTTTTTGTGTGGCTTAAATGAGTTGAGTATGTAACTTGCTTAGAACAGCCAGCCCCAGAACAGCGTGAAATGTGTTTGCTAGAAATATGCTTACTTCTTGGTTTCTGTAGTGCACTGTGGTAAGATAGAGACTGTTCCTGAGTGGAACAAAAACAGCAAAGTATGGAAAAGGGAGATACCAGAGAGGGATCATTTTCAGGAGCGCGTCATGGCTTGACTGCCAAGTCCAAGCACAAAAGCCCAAGATGATAGGATTTGCCGGCTGCTTCACTCAGCTGGGTGCAGTGACGGGCATCTTTGGGGTTTCTTGAACCACCTTCTTTTTATCTGGAATTAAATTTTAACTTGTCTCCAGTATCAGAGAAACTTTTCAGCTTCGGACATGTCAAGGCCGGTGGATGAGGAAGACAGGCATTGAACTATGTGGTAAACTGATTTTCCTGGGATGGAAAAGGACTTGGGTGTGAAGTGATCACTAATCTTGTGACTTCCATTCACCCTGTCCCTGGGGTCATGCTCCCTGAGTGGACTTTTTTGTCTGGGCTCAATTCAGGGAACAATATTCATCACATTTTCCCTGCCCTCTTAAAGGTCAAGGGCAAAACTGGATGTGGAACTCAGACATGAAGTATGAATGGGTTTGGGGCAGAAGAGTGGAAATACGCGGGGCAGGATGGGCCAGTCAGAGGCCACGCTCCTCAAGGTTTGTCTAGATCCCTCCTTTTCCCTCCCAGGAACGCGCCGTTCCCTTCTGCCGCTGCTCTGATGCTTCACACCTCGGCTCCCGGCTTCCCCGCCGACCTCCTGCGCTTCCCCTCAGTTCACACCCTGGTTATTTCCAGCTTTCATTTACTAGGACCCATCTTTCCATTTCAAGCCTCCCATTGCAAATTCATCCCCCCTTTCCATTTCTCCTGCTCTTGAATGTTCCCAGGGTCTCATTTCTTTCTCAGACTCTTGCAAGGGGGCTCCTAACTGGTCTCTCTGTTTTCAAGATGGCCCGTTTCAGTGCCCACCCTGTGTTGTGATAGAATCAGGACTCTTGCCAGAGGGACCTTTGCAGCCCGCAGATACGACCATGATGGTCTCAGGGCTGAAAAGCCTGCATGCCTCTGGATTAGTCACTCTTGATGTGACTTCCCATGGTTTGGCTTTTGTGTGCTTTTCCAGCCTCATCCCCCACACAGTCGACCTTTATATGACCCTCCAGCACATATAAAGTCCACCCCATAATACTTTCTGTACTTCCCCAAGTGCTTTATGCTCTCTCAGATGTGTCTTTAACCAAAAGCTCTTTCCCATTTCGCCGCCTGGAGAATGTCTATGGTCTACCCAAGCTTTGGCCACTTGTTCCGTTTTCTCTGATGCTCAGTGTGATGTCCTGTCATGAACCCTCGTAGCTGTTTGCACACACTCTTGTTAAAGCATCGACCATGTTGTGTCTAGTTGTTTGTAGGGCTTACGGGTTGATTTATGTCCTCCCAAAATTTATATGTTGAAATCCTAACTCTTAGAACCTCAGAATGTGATTTTATTTGAAAATAGGATTGTAACAGATGTAATTAGTAAAGATGAGGTCATATTGCAGTAGAGTGAGCCCTAAATCAAATAGCACTGGTGTCCTTATAAAAAGGGGAAAATTTGGACTCTGACATATGCATACAGGGAGAAGGTCACGTGAAGATGAAGGCGGAGACTAGGTGCCGCTTCTGCAAGCCAAGGAGAGTCTTGGCGGCAAACCGCCGGAAGCTAGTCAAGGGGTTAGCAACAGACTCTCCCTCATGATCTAACTCAGAAGAGACCAACCCTGCCAACATCTTGATCCTAGACTTCAGGCCTCCAGAACTGTGACACAGTACATTTCTGTTGTTTCCGCCACCCACTTTGCGGTACTTTGTTACAGCAGACTTTGCAATCTAATACAATACACATGTCTCTCTTCCTCACTAGAGAATGACCCCTTCCCTGCGGAAGGCAAGTGTTACTCATGGGTCCGAGGACTTAAGGTCTGAGGACAGGGCCACTCACCTGGGGAATGCTCAAGAAATTTTAGCTGAGTGAATGGAAGGGTCTGTCTAAGGCCACCTCTGAAACCATAGCATCTTCCACAGGGCCTTGTACACAGTCGTGGCTTAACTTTTGGTTACAATAAAATAACATAGTTTTGGACCCTGGGGAGACACAGAAGAAATATACAACATGCCTCCTGCCTTCCAGCATTTTTTATCATTGTTAGAGAAACAAAACCTGTCTGTACCTATGAGACATCTAAGAAAAAGTACAGATAGTCCCCTGAGCTGATTAGGGATCTGGGGCACCACATGCTTTCATGGGACAAGTGCCAAGGGCACTCACTAAATATCATGCTTTCTACCTCCAGGAATTCAACACGAAAACAACAGTGTCAACATTTCAACACAAGAATTTCTCAATCTGTGAAGGTTATACTCTGTTTTTACCTTGCATATGTTCCTATGTTGCTTAAAAAAGACTGTTTCTCGTTTGCGTGCTTGGTTTTCTACACCAGACTGTAATTCCTCAAGTACAAGGCCAGCAGCCTTTCTCCTTCCTTTTCCTGCTTTCCTAGGACCTCGTACCCAGCAAGGCGTACCGCTGAGAATGAAGAAATTGCTGTAGAATAAATGGTGTTTATGTAGGTGGGTCTATGTGTGCTCATGTATGGGAAGAGGGGTTTAAAAGGAGTGTTTAAAATAAAAATCTAGCCCCAGATAAACTTTAGCTATTATATTTAGACTGTCTAAACCTTAGTAATCATTGGAGCCTATGGAAAGAGCGATAGGTAAGAAACATAAAGTGAAATAACTGCTAACTGCAGACAGCTCTGTTCCTCTGAGGTGTTTCACTGTGTGGATGCCTGTGAGGGCGATGTTACCTTTTCCCCGCCGGCTGTCTCAGTCATAAGTGAGGGAGGGGAGAGACAGTTCAAGTACTATACGTGACAGATCCTGAATGGAGTGTGATTAACAGCTCAGTATGGATTTAGTGTTGTACTCAGTCTCTTCTCTTATTTTAAGCTAGAAAGTCCAGAATTGTCTAGTCATGAGCAAAACATGACATCTGGACATAGGCCAGAGGTGCCTCAAAGCACAGCCTATGGATCTGAATTACCTGGCGGCATTTGTAAAAATGCAAATGTCAGGCTCACACCCTAGATTTAGTGAATCAGAAGCTTTGGAAGTGGAGCCAGGAATATGCAGTTTCAATATGCAGAGTCTTATAAGCTTAAAAGATTCTGTACAGCCTAAAGTCCAATTATGATACACACAGAAGTTAGGGAATCACTGGTTGAGAGGATAGTGCTAAAGAGAATAAATATTTGATTATAAATTGTTTAGCTGGGATCCATTGTCTAGGTCTGACTTGTCTCATAAGGTCGTCACAGGGCCAGAGAGAAAATGTGTGTGTGGCCCAGCACAATCCTCGCTGTTACTGGGAAAACCAAACAACTCATCAATCAACAACCAACAGACAATTCCACTGTCTGTTCTTTGCAAACTGTGAGTCTGTAGTGCAATCTGGCTATAAAAAGTCATGGCTCCACTTATTAGTACCTTCCTTGGGCCTCCGTTTCCTCGTCTGAAACATGAATCCCAGACATGACTGATCTTGAAGGTTTCAGTTTTTTAAAAATAATCATTTTGCAATTTTTTATTATACTAGCACATAATAACCAAGCTGTTTTCGCACAACTTTATTTCCAGCGTAACCCACATAATTGAGATTGTCTAAGACGAGTAGGAGCACTGATTGGGAGTCAGGAAGCTTAGATTTTGGTCCTGGCTCAGTCGTGAACTAGATCAGTGACATTTAATGTCTCTGCCTTCATTGTCCTCACATGTCAAATGATTAAGTTAAATAATTTCAAAGTTCTCTTCCAGAATAAATA